GAAAACTTGAAGTTCATTATTTATCATTCTCACATTGAACTTTACTTAACCTTCCCTAGTCTCATTTAAGGAGGACACATTGTTTTAGGTTCTACCCCAAGAAATCAAAATCTCAATACTGATAGTAAGTCGATATCATTTCGTTTTTAACATTTAGGTCATCTTTTTAGCTTTTCGGAAGGGAATCTGATGGAGAGGCTAACACTTAATGTTCTTTAATGTTATAAAGTTAATTTGTTCGATTCCAGTCTACAAATAGGCCTACGTCTACAAAAGAGGTCACAATTTTATCGCTTCATAATGTTAAAATCGGATTTATGTGTTTTTAAATTAGTATGGAACGGCATAACTTTAATCATTAGAATCAACACCTTTGAAAAAAAAAATTGAATTAAAATGAATAATGGGCATACAAATTTAGCCATGGGACTGAAACCATAAATATTTGTTGATGGGAACATTGGGCCTCATGCGACATAAAAGAAGACTTTTTCTCGGAACTTTGGGAAAATGCCCCCGTCGTCGCCACCCCCTAATCCCCCCTTACTATCAGATATTTCGACATCACAATATGGTGTGCGCGTGTTCTTTTATTGATTTACACGGACTGATTGCGTGATGATAACATTGGAGTTCTTCCTATTTTTAGCTCTACCTCATTAAACCAAGAGGTCAATCTGCGTACATTAATAAAAATGCTTCCATGCTTTGAATTAAAATGAAGCGGGTTTATATCAACCCTAAACTTGTAAACATCCGCCCTCGATTTCCGGTATAAACAAGTGTCTCTGACGTAAGTTCAGCCACCAATTTAATAACTGAGAGGTCAGCCATGTTTTATTGTACCCAATACATCGAATGCTTCATGTCAACCCAAACGGGAGACTACCTATTGACCCCGCGACCCCTGCACGGGATGTGACGTCAGTAAGGGGCTTTCGTGGCCGCAGTGGTTCTATTTTTAGTACCTCGTTAGGGTCGCTCGTGTCTCGTCGGATTTTTTTTTTTTAAGTTTGTCTATTCTACTTTCTCTTTGGTGTACTCTCGCGATTTCAAGGTCTTCGAGATTCTAAAAATAGAGGCGTTTTGTCCGCTGGGAAAGAAGAGGAAACGTAACTTTTTCATTTGTTGTATAGATAGTTATTGCTTCTCATGTAAGTTCTATAAATCCAAACTGGGTTACGATATGATTTAGTTATACAATTATGTTCCCGTCTTGGTATGATATGAAACAAAATTGTGAATAGTATCTTTATTGATTAAGATAATACCTTTCCTTCGTTATACTGAAGTTATAGTCTTAATCAATTATTCATGCCCTAAAAGAAAGATCCCACATTAAAACAACGAATTGAAATTCAAGAATTGTTTTTTTCAGAAGTACATAATTTGGTGTGCATTTTTAATTGATTTACCCGTCTTCGCTAAATTGGTAAGAGCTTATTCGCCTTCTTGGTCGTGTATATTATACAAAGATAAAGTTCGTTTTGCTCTAATAGGGCTGAAAATCAAATTAACTAGAAAATAGCAGAGCATGTTGAAATGTGCTCGGCGACAACCAGAGCAGAGCGCCAATGTCAATGGCTGTCCAGATTTAGCCGGTCGGACACAACTATATGTTGGTGATTTAGATCGATTTGATATACATTAATAAGGAAAACACAACTTTAAAAAATCCATAAAATTGACCAACATGATTGTGCATTAACTCAACGTGAAAAATAAATTAATATGGTGATGATGCAAACTAAAAGTAAAAGTAATAATCAGGGGCGAATCATGACTTTCGTTTTGAGGAGAAAATGATGTTGCATTAACCACATTTATTTTACAATTAGATGTCGTTCTCTAATGAAAAAAATGCGCTTCTAAAATCTGCCATCACTGATTAAACGCGAATCCATGGATTAAGGGAAAGGGATTAAAATGGATTTAGAGTCACGTGACGATTGCCAATTGGGTCGCGACGGACCTTCACCAGACGGTTTGGCGGGAAACAAATATTTTTCTCGAGCAATTATTTTCGCTGTCATTATTATTGAAAGAGTATTGGTATGTGTTTTCGCTGTCCCAAATAAGTTAGTTTATAGCCATATAATATTAATAATAATGATGGTACAGTGCATATTGTAAGAGTGAAATAAGTAAATAAAAAAAATTATACCTGGAATTCGTATTCTAACTCAGGAAATATGGGACAAAATATAGGGCAGAATGATCTTTCATTTGCTTTGTTCCTATAACGGAACTTTAATGTCAGTCAATTTTCTTTGACAGTCGTGTTTGGAAAAATGGTGAATTACCTTAAGCACGATGGTTGAACAAAGAGAGAGGTTAATGTAATAATATACCCATTTTCTAATGTGTTTCCCAAATATTTATCTGTTCCTATAAGGAGTCATGCCACAGCTACAGATCTAATAAGAATATTGGTTTCTTTCAATATGTTTATTTCATCAGCATTGCTTTGGGACTCTGGACAGTGGACATAACTCACCGAGAAAAGAATACACAGCCCCCTCCCCTCCTCTCAATAAAATGCATTCTTCCATTTTCTTTAAACTTGCGGGGCGACTCACCCAGGACTACCACCCCGGACAACTCCCCCCCCCCCGGGACAATTATAATCCCTCAGAAAAATTACTCTCGGACAAGTACCCTTTACTTAGAAATTACCTCCATATCAAACCAACCTCGGACGACTTAGATTGCAATGAGAGTATATAGCGGTAGTGTTCCGGGGATAATATTGTCCGGGCAGTTTTACAATATGGTGCATTATTCCGAGGGTATTGTCCGGGGTTACAGAGGCAGTTGTCCTATGGAATATGTAATTTGTCGGGGTCCTTATCTGAGAGGATGTCGTCTTGGGCTAGTTGTTCAGTAGTAAATGTCCTATGAAAATAGTTTTCCGGGAGTAGTTGTCCGGGGTGATCGCCCTGGGGTTAGTTGCCCTTGTATCACAAATCCAAACATCATCAACTACCAGTCCATACCTGGCTGCAGGTGAATATTCCCCTATGATAAATGCCTAGGGGCCACGTGTACTATGTCAATTATCGGCCGCAGGTAATAGTTAGCGCACGTCGATCATTAAAAAGAACTTAATAAAATTAAAGCTTATATTTCAACTCTGCACGTTTTACTGTTATTTCGAAGGTCGACAAACTATGAAATCTATCAGCGAAATGACAAATGTCACCCTGGCTACAGCGCACTCCATCGTATTAACTCGGCCAGACGTCGATTCAATAAACAAGGGTTTAATTAATGGTATGAAATTCGGAGATGGGGTTTTAATTTGTGCACCCAAACTGGCCAATGGGTAAACGTTTGGGGTATGTTAAGTGGTATGGTTTGGAAGTCTCAAAGATCAATCTTTCAACGCCTCAGAGACCAATGCCGGTAAACATAATTATTCCCGTATTGAGAGAAGGTTTGTTTTTAATGTACATTTTAATAGCAATAGCAAATACGGAAAATATTAGTTTAATAAACTTATAACTGAATGATAGGATTTACAAAAGGGAAATATTAAGTGTCTGGAGAGAAGAATAAAAAAAAAGAAGAAAAAGTAGAAGAAGAAGAAGAAGAAGAAGTAGAAGAAGAAGAAGAAGAAGAAGAAGAAGAAGAAGGACAATAATATTGTATCAAAAAAAAGAAAAGAGAAAGAAACACCGGTTCTCAAGTGTCGACAGGAATAGCTTCTTGATATCCAGCTGCTGCCCTCTACCTTCCATCTGGTTAAGGCAATGTTCACGTTGTTTAATAGCAGATTTCTATAATAATACTAATAATTCTACTAATAACTAATTTTTTGTTATTTATTTTTTTCACAACAATTTTGATTAACTCAAAGTTAAAGTAAAGGCTTCTATTAAAAGGAAACCTATGATTGAGAGGTGAGAATCGTTTATGATTTGTTTAACTTTCATGGAAGCAAAGGGTTCCAAACAGTTATAGGGATCAAGATGATTTTGGTCGTGACAACGCTTTGGATTTGAAAATATTTTCGAGTTTTAGCTGGTTATTCTTAAAGGGAACGGAAAAAATTGTTATCACCAATCAGCAATAAAATGAAATCTATTCTCATCTCCCTGGTAAAACGAAATATCGAAATCACTTTTTCTTCAAACATTCACGAATGTATTGTCTCACATTTTTAGACAGATTACTGCTTTGACAAAATATATCAAATTGTACCTATTTTTTTATGTACATCAAATTCACATCAACATTCTAAAATACAATGTCTGTAACCTTTTTAATGACATCAAATTAATGTTGGTGTACACTGATTTCTTCTTTCATTTTCTTTGTATCCAGTGTCATAAATGTAACAATCAAATAGTCCCTTGCCTTATATGGCAGACACGCTGTACACCGCTTTGCTCTTTATGATTATTTTCATAGGAACTAAATCCGTGTACCCCTATAAAACGCTAAATAAGGGGGAAATGTAGGGGTGATGAAAACATAAACGACCCCCGAATAATCTGGGTAATATAGTAAAGTTTTAAGATATTAGGACATATTGGGTAAAGTAATAAAGTAATCGGGATTCAGAATGAGAAACCCTTAATTGCAAAAACTTATGTTGTCCAAGGGACGTGTTGTTACACGTTCTATAAATAGTCGGAAAAAGAAGGAAAAACATGGAAGGCAGATGGGAAAATGGAGAGAAGGGGGAGGGAATATGGAGGTGGGATTACTATCAATGTTTCATAATACCTGGGAACATTCTCGTTTTTACTTCCCTGTACCTTTCTTTTTTTTCTTCAAGAGTTTTCTACCATGGACCTATCAGGTTGGTGTCGGTAGGGTCATGCAAAGGTGTAAGCTCACGCGACTCCAACCAATAAGCGCGCTGGAGCTGTACCAAACAGCTGAGCAGCGCCAACTCGGTTGCGAGTTGGAGAAAAGTCCCGCACTCGACCGACGTTACCGCCTCGCTGATTGGCCCAAAGCGCCCGAGTCTTGGACGAGTTGATTGACACAGCAGCTGATCGGGCACGCGTACGTCGTGAGCTCCGCCCCCTCAGCCCGCTGATACTACGACTCCTACCAGCAGCTGAATGGGACGGTATCGGGGGGATTAGCAGGCAAGCGACCGATATAAAACTCTGGTCGAGGTTGTGCGTAACAGGTAGAAGTCAAACCGAAGTCAAACTGAAGCGTGCGCGGCTCTGAAGCAACAAGTTGTCGTCTGCCAAAACGACTCGCGCGAACAGCACGCGACTAAAAACCCCACGACATTCCGAAACAACACATTCCAGTGTACTGTACTGTAATCTGACGAGGAGAGCCGAGTTGGCAAAAATCCACCTTATCTAGTGGAACGATACAAGACTTCGTGATACATGAATGGTGAATACACCTCAACATCCATAGCATCGGTGGACTTGGAACTTACGTATCTTTCAGAACTGAGTTATTCGGGGCAAATGGTCCTGATTTCAGTTAACATTTAAAACACATCTTCAAGGTTATATAACTGGTATCATTATACACCGCATTCGGATTTCGCTGCCTCAGTGTTAGGACCAGAAACCACTTGTTGATACCAACGACTGGAAGAACTTCAGGAAACAAATCCTTGACGAGGACGCGGATGATAGTGTACATTAATTTTGCTTTACCGTAAAAGTAGAGGCAAGTCTCATCTCGTTTTGAATTAGAAGATGCTTCACGTGTTGGGAGTCGAATCTGTGAACAATCTGTGTATTGCGGAACGAATCGCTTGAGGAATAACTTCATAAGACCAACGACGCGAGGATCATATTCTCACCTTTATACAGATGATAATGGTATGTACAATTTCATCTTCTGTAATTGAACAGTCTTAATTTTCTTGACAACTTTTTCATACACTTTCTAGCACAAGTAGAGATTTAATCCTCATTTAACAAATACTGCAGCTGTAATAAACAGCTGAGGTGAGGGCACAACACGAGCTAACCTGCATAACGGTTATTTTCTCGATTAGTTTTCATGTTCTCTCTCTCTCCCACAGTCCCATGTATAGTGCGATAGTTGTATTCTTAAACTGGATGTAGTTTGTAGTGTGGGCAAACAGTTAGTGCTATTTTTTTTTGCCTTTTTTGTTCCAAGTTGGAATGTGTGGTGATGCAGTAAAATTATCATTGGAGTCAATTAAAATCATGCAGTGTATAATAATTATTTCGTCAACACTGTGGATTGATTTACTGGATTATTTGAAAAACTGAGTTACTCCCGAAATGGAATACAATTTGGAAACACTATCAGACACCTGCTTCTGTATGTAACAATTATTGTGACCACCATGACCCTAATAGTATTATATAACTCAACTTTGATGTAAAGTAAATAATTGAATAAATTACCATACACTTGATACACTGCTGGAGTATTGCCTAAAAATTTGAAATACTCTCAACACACTTCCCCGGAATGTCGAGAGACTTATTTCTATCATTAAACTGCCGGTTTAATGAAGGCGATTCGCCTCCTATAGATTGTATTACATCGTTATTCAAAATTTCAATAGGTTGAAATATGGAGGGGATTTATAAGTTGCTATGGGTTTTCTGTCTGGTGTATTAAGATGATGTAATGATGTAGTCTGTAAACTAAAATACTATTCAGTTGTAGCTATGGTGAGGTATCACCTGCATGCAGAATTGAAGCGCATTGTCGTGATGCCTACGCCATGTACAAGGAGGCCATGAAGGCCACCTGTGGGGACATTATACATAAAAATGTCTTCTTCAAACATGAACCTCTTCCAATATCAACAGAGTACATGGTAAAGAAGTAAAGGATCATAAGGGGTCATGTTGCCCCCTTCCTGGTTATGCAAGAGTGCACCATACAATGTGTTGTCTAAATCACTTGTGTGATGTTTTCTGCAACATCCATCTTGCATTGTATTGAAGGCTTCCTTTTTTCTGAGCAGTCAGTACCTTGCGTTTATACGGGGAATAATCTCCTTAAATTCAGATGGGTGCCGGTGTTGCCTCTCACCCCCTCCCTTCCCTCTCCATTCTTCCTTGAAACCCTAACACACGTGGTACACAGAGAAACAGGTGGTTAAGAGAAACCTCCTTCCGATGATGCTGTCTGAAGTGATATGGCATTGAACCTGATGAATCTTCAAGCAGATGCCGCTAATTCTGTTGTTTGTGGTCTCTTGACCTCTTAATAATAGCGCTACAAATTGAATCCGTCAATGAGACGAGAGAGGTAGTTGAATGCCCCCTCAATCAAGGAGGCAAAGAGGCTGAAGTCCTTTCTCTTAATTTGGGTAACCTTCTTGAAGTTGTCTGGGGCTGACTTGGTTTCTGAAGGGGTGAAGATGTTTCTGGTGGAGTTGAAGCTTCAGTGAAGGTCGGTTTCTTGAAGGACACATACAGACTTCGACTTACTTGGTGAGGGCAGGACTGGGTTCAAGAACCTAACGTCTTGGATGGTATAGAGACTGACAGGTGGTAGAACAATCGGTTGCCTTCTCGGGCACAACAACGTCATGATGCAGTTTGTAGAGCACAGGATACAGACTTGGAACAGGTGAATTTATGAGATAGTTCAATGTGATCATTGTGAAATGGCGTAAGTTATATCAATCCATTACGAATATTCTTAGTTACATAAATAGTATGGCTGTATTAAATCATGGTGAACAAACAGTCAACCTATTTGGCAACTAAATTTATATTTCCATGTTCCTGATCGGCTAGACATTTATAAGTCATCTTTGTAGAACAATGCAATATTTCCTTTTTATAAGATCTGTCTCTCTTTCTCTCTCTCTCTCTCTCTTTTTTCTTTTTCTTAACATTTTTTTCTTCATCGTTTTCTTTGCGCAATTCCCGACACAGGAAGAGATCGACAAGTGTTTAGTGACCCCTGGCTCCTTTTCACAGATTTAATGGCCATTACCACATCCCTAAGTCATTATCATACTCAAACATAGGTAGAACAAAACAATTACAAATATGAGTAAAAACAACAACATGCACAATCGTATGTAATCTAGGCAAATATTATTACTTCAAGTTCAGTAGAGTGGAAACACGTCGAACAGGCCATACCTGAAGACATGGCAGTTATAATAATTTCAACATGCAGGGGTACTGTTACGATGACAAGTCTTTGATTTCAACATGCGTGTTCGACGAAAATAATAAGAACATCGTTGGTGTCATCATTATAGTGATGTGCATTGTTATAAGAAATAGGACTCCAGTTGCATGGACCAGACTATCTGATGATCTTTGAAGCATAAATTTGCAATTCTTTACTTGCTGCGATGAAAGTGGAAAGGTCTCGTCAACCGAGGAATGGTAGTGCTGTAACTGTTGTGCTTCATACCCGTTCCTCTTTGCTGTTGCCATGGTTATGCAAGTCATGATCACCGGATTTGACCTTTGACTTCACATGATATCACTCCATCTTTCTCAGGAAAGTCGTAATTACATCTCTTCTTTGAAAACTCTGATCAAATGCAGAAAAAAGACAACATAAAACTGTCAGCTTCACCGGAGATGGTATGAAATATCGGTAGCGTCACATTTAACACTTCAAAGAGACTTCAAAAATCATGATAAATGTCCTTGTTTTAGCCCAGTGCAATGCAGGCGACAGATTAGAACTTGTGATTAATATTTTACATCTTATAATATATGCTGATATCTTACACTATACTTACATAATAATGGTGTTTGGTGATACCACAATGAGCTGTTCACGACAGGTTTTTTCTTCTGTATATTTTATCTGTAATTCTATCAGTACATCAAATCCCGTCACTCCATTCGACTCACTGAATGTTTTTCTGAGAATCAGTTATGTAAACCGATTTTATCTTTATCACTGATACTGGAGACTCCATCACATTGAGGAAAACATTTCTGTCTGTCTGTCCTATTTGAAAATGTGATTTACTGCCTGGTAGAACATTATTCCTAGATCTGTTTGATTTCTCAAGTGGGGTTGACTACCGTGATAATCGAAGGAGACATGCCGACTCCAGCCGGCTGGACCTTCCCCACGGGAGCGCTGAATCAAAAGCTGTTTTTAAAGCAGTAGAGAACCCTCGCAGAGTTCCTGTGCTCTGATATCTTCTTCAAGAATCAATTGTCACTTCAGTTGCAGTTTCATTCTTACTTTTGATCAGTCATTAAATATCATTATATTAATTGGGATACTTTGACTTGTTTTCTCGTAAATAATGTTTTTCTTCAAATTTCTAATACGATGGTCCTTCTCTCCTCTAAACTCTACTAATGATTTCTAAAACCCAGATAAAGCATTATTTAAATAATACGTCACTATATCACACTGAAGTACATTATTTTGTTTAGAATGTCTGATTTTGATACAAATTTTGGCAAGTTTTTTTTTGTTGCGATTTCTAAATTTTTCTCTTTATGTATGATAATAGTGATCGATGAAAAAGCATTTTGAAAGAGTATAAAATAGTTTTTAAAGCTCCCTGATATCGCATTCATTATAAGAAATCTTTTCTCAATAATGTGAAACATCAGTATTTCTTCATTTGTGACAGAGCTTACATATAAATCGGCATGATTGGTAAAACAGGTGATGACATTTAAATGGTCCTTTGTAGGGGAACAGTGGTCACCAGTGGCCTTACAATCGCAATAAACAGGCGCGTAGCCAGGGGGGGGCGGTGGGGGCGGTCGCCCCCCCCCCAAAACGCCGGCCAAAAAAAAAAAGAGAGAGAAAGAGAAGAAAAAAAAGAAAGAGGACGTAGGAAAAAAAAGGGAAAAGGAGTCGAGAACGGTACAATGAATCGTCAAAGCTTCCGCGCTTCGCGCGGGAAAGGGGAAACTGAGTTCAAATTAAGAAATATGAGTCGGGAAAGGTACAACGAATCGTCTTCTTTCTCTAATAATTTAATGAAACGTCAAAGCTTCGCGCGAGAGGGGGGGGGGGAACAGAATTCAGACAAGGATTAAGAGTCGAGAGAGGTACAACAAATCGTCTTCTTTCTCTAATAATTTAATGAAACGTCAAAGCTTCGCGCGAGAGAGGGGAGGGACTGAATTCAGACAAGGATTATGAACCGAGAAAGGTACAACGAATCGTCTTCTTTCAAAGCTTCCGCGCTTCGCGCGGGAGGGGGGAAACTCCCCCCTCCCTGCACCCACCCCCCTAGGGAGCGCGCTTCGCGCGCTCTTTAAGTGATTCGCACGCTTCGCGTGCTCACTACCGCCCCCCCTAAAATGAAATCCTGGCTACGCGCTTGGCAATAAAACGGTTGAAATGTTACAATTATCATCGTGAAATTCTTCCAGAGCGCGTGCTGGTTCCAATTCGATTATTCGTCTCTCGTGGTTTAAGATGTAGTAAATCAGTACATGATGAAGATCGTTAGGGAATGCTGGAAGGGTGTACATCTGCGCCCCGGCCGCTAATTTTTTTTTCCCAAACAGGTTTGCCAATGCTAATATTTCCGGTCATCTGATTGGCTGATATATTACGTCACTAGCAATGACGTAACCGTTAGGGTGAGTGATAGGGGTATAGAAATCATGCAGAATCACTCTTCATCAACCCATCGTTGGCTCAATCGGTAAGGTCAGCGTAATGCAATCATAGAGATGTGGGTTCAAGTCTCAGTTTATTCCGTATTTTTGCCTTTATAAATAGTGAGGCAAAGCAATAAAAAATCAAAGTCTAATTGTTTGTGACCTCTTTCCAAGCTGCTAATGACGTATCAGCCATTGAGAAGAACGGAAATATAAGAAATTGCAAACCTGTTTGGGAATAAAAATTTCGCGCCCCGGCCCCTCTCCATAAT